GTGTATGTGTCTTGGACGATGTGCTGGGGAAGGATCGTATCTTTGAGGGCCGATGGAGTGAGAGACAAGCCTGTCGAGTCTTTCCCATCTGGTGTTCTATGGCCGCTTTCAGTGATGGCTCGTTCTGGTGTAGGATTCTTCGCGAGTCTGAGGAACGTCTGGAGCAGTGAGACGAACGTTCGATGTGTTCGGGGTGGTAATGGGTCAGGAGTGGTTGGGAAAGGAAGGAAATGAACAGAGAGCGTCGTCTGAGTCCCCTTTTCTTTGTGGAAATATGCCAGAGACTTGACCGGTGGATGATACCATGGCATGTCCGCCTCAGCATCTACTTGCGGATCGTAAACGACAATGCACCCCGAACTCTCCTCCCCTGTTCGCTGGTCGAGGCTGTAGATATAGCACCACTGGTCAAGTGGACGATCGAGCTGGGGCTTTCGAGGGATGAGTTTCCTCAGGACCTTTCGTTGCAGTGTTGCCCCCTCGAAGACTGGTGCTGAAGATGTGCGTTCAGGATCATCTTCATCTGCGGCCTGTTCTTCGTCTTCATCGCTCGGTCCTCTCCCAGGGTGCTGACAGAATTTCTCCTTTTCCGAAACTGTCTTCAGCCGGTGTGCACTGTCGTACAAGATGTCGGCCCGGAAGAGGTGGGTTGAGTTCAGGTTGGGGTTTTCCAACAGCAGATCTGTGACTTGTTGAAATCGGTCAGCCGAAAGGCTACAAGACTCTGAATATTCTGGAGCGGTTTTCCATTCCTGGTGAGCATCTTGTACTTGCAGCGTGTCTGAAGCCATTATCCCCGCGATGGCTCTGTTTTAGGGTCAAATCCCATTCTTTAAGTCAAGTCTGGGCAATAATATGCTGAAGTGAAGAGGCCAAACAGGGTAGGTAAAGTAGTCACTATTCAGAAGAGGAGCGACGGAATTACCACGAGTCACATAATCAAGTCAACTATTGCAAAAATCACCCAAAACCCTAGACTTTAGCATCCTAGGCAAGAGTAAAAGTGAGGATGAGCAAAATAAAAAACAAAAAAATCCGAAGAAAGAACGTTACTGAAAACGCCCTGGGAGAGGCTCGAACTCTCAACCTTGAGATTGTCATAGCTTCAGGTGAAGCTTTAAAAGTCTCACTGAATCATAATTAGAACTATTATCAATCTTCACTGACAGTGGCACGACCTACCGCGCTGACCAATTGTGCCACCAGGGCTTTAATGGCAGAATTTGTGGCATGTTATATATATACCTTTTTTTATTGTGCGGGCTTTGATAGGCTGGTTTGGTGGGGCGAATCAGAGTCTAACCTCGTGCTCCACAAATGGAGGCCTTTCTTCAACCTCCCTTTCAAAGATGGAACACTAAGCTAGGTGGCTAGATGTCCCGCATATTACCTGTCCTCTTCTCGCGACTGTAGGTAGGGTTATGAGTATAACATATGGGACACCGCCGACGAGCTTGACTGGTACATAATACACCTCGAGGCGCATGTTACATCAACCTATGTAGGCCCTTGAGAGCAGGTCAAATAGATACCCAGATGGCCAGAAAAAGAACCCGCAAAATGGAATTACATGTGCATTCGCTTCCCAACAGAGCAGTCCAGTTCGTGAAACCTACAACTTGGCTTTGGTCGTTCCCTGTTGCTTCTTCCGCTCCTCAAACCACTCCTTGACCTTTTGCCTCGCCACCTCAACAACCTCCTTGTCCTCCACCGTCGCAGGAATATTGACTTCCTTGTCATATTTCCCCTCGACGGCATTCTCCACCAGTTCTCTCAAGACGCGCCGTAGAGTCTTTCCGCTCCGTGTCTTGGGAATCATCCCTTTGCCTTGGACGATACCACCCAATGAGGCAATGGCGCCGATCTGGTTTCGTACGAGATTGTTGATGCCGGTGAAAAACTCCTTGGAAGGCGTCGCGGGCAGGTCCGAGGGAGTGGCGGCAGAAGGAATGACAAAGGCAAACGGCAAGTGTCCCTTCATAGCATCGGGGACGCCGACAACGCATGCTTCGGCAACGCCAGGGTGCGATGTGATGGCTTGTTCGATAGCACCTGTTCATGAAAAAATAGGTCAGCATTCAGTTTCCATCATATTGGCAGGGTGTTAGACTGTACCAGTACTGAACCGATGGGCGGCCACATTGATGATATCGTCACTTCTCGACATGACGTGCAAATATCCATCCTGGTCAATCATCCCAGCATCTCCAGTGTCCACCCACTTCGCATTGAATCGTCTCAAGTAGCCCTTGTAAAACCTTTCATCATCATTGAATAGTGTGGTAAATCCAGTAGGAGCCAACGGCATTGCGAGCACAATATTTCCCATCTTGCCTTGTTCGACTTCGTTTCCCTCGTCGTCGACTATGCGCACGTCGAATCCGGGCATCGGCTTACCGGCACTGCCGGGCTTGATGGCCAACGCCTTGTGCTCTTCGCGACTGTGATGATCAAATCCAATGGCCGGGCGCAAGGCCAAGCCGGTCATGGGACTGCCGCTTTCGCTGGACCACCAGTGATCAATCACTCTCGCGTCTGGAGCAGCGTATTTACTTAGCAACTCTTGATAATGTGTGATGATGGCCGGTTCGGATCTCTCTCCGGCAAGGAACAGTGCCCGCCAGTGCCTCAGCCGGCCCTTCTCGCCAAGTTCTTTGAAGAATTTGTCTTCAGGATCCTCTTTCCGGATAGCCCTGAGTGCGGTTGGAGCGGTGAACAGCGCTGTAACCTTGTGCTCGTCCACCATGCGCCAAAATGCGCCTGCATCGGGCGTCCCGATGGGCTTGCCTTCGTAGAGGACGGTGGTTGCCCCCGCCAGGAGAGGTGCATAGACAATGTACGAATGTCCCACCACCCACCCGATATCACTGCCGGTGAAGATGACGTCGCCAGGGCCCTTGACATCGAAGAGGTATTTGATGCTGAGATTGAGGCCGACTGCATGTCCGCCTGCTTCGCGGAGTACGCCCTTGGGCAAACCGGTGGTGCCACTGGTGTAGATAATGTACAATCCGTCTGTGCTCTTGACCGGGACCGCCTCAGCTTTGATGCCTCTATTTCGAGCACTCTTGACGAGACGTTGCCAGTTTCTCTGCCCCTCATCTTTCCTCACAGGATCCCATCTCCTGATGTCTCGCTGCCAGATGATGGTTTTGCTCGGCTTCCAACTGCTTTGCTCAATCGCGCTTTCGACGAACGGCCTGTATTCCAGAGGGCCCTTGGTCCCTTCGATGGCACAGCTGGCTGTCAAAATGACCTTGGGCTGGGCAGCTTCGATCCTCTGCGCCAGACTGGTAGCGGCAAACCCTCCAAAGACGACTGCATGCATGGCACCCAGGCGAACGGCGGCGAGCATGCCAAAGATGGCGGCTGGTATCATCGGCATGTAGACCAGCACGACATCTCCCTTCTTGACACCTTCTTCTCGGAGAACACCTGCGAGAATCTCCACCTCGTCCAACATCTGACTGTATGTGTACTTCTCTTTCGACCCACTCACGGGACTGTCCCAGATCATGGCAATCTTGTCGCCATTGCCAGCCTTGACATGGCGGTCTACGCAATTGTACGTGGTGCTGATCTCTCCGTCAGGGAACCATGACCAGTGTGGATGCGTGATTCCCTCCTTCAGGTTCTTGGGTTGCCTGCGCAGGACCGCGCTGTATGGTTTATGCCAGTATAGCTCTTTAGCATGCCTGTCCCAGAACCCTTCTGGGTCGGATAATGAAGCATTCTGTACCGCATCTTGGACCGTGTTATTTGGGGACATGATGTGCAGGACGAAGTGTATAACACTTCACTCTCTCGAACTTGGTAAGGGTTACAATGAAGAGGGCGCAGATGTTGTACAGGTCAGACGTAGGGCAAGGCAGGGTTGGGATTCGGACGGCAAGGAGCCTCGAAGCTAGAGAATGATCAAGACAGAGCGCGAGGCCGTAGGAACATATAAGTCTGTCTATGGACAAAGCATGAACGACTGATCGAAAGCACCAAGCGAGGCCCGGGTTTGCGTGGTATTCTCACCGCGATCCAGTTGAGGTTTTGCTCTCAACGGGCTGGTATCAACTATAGCTTTTCTGCAGCACAAGATGGAAATGACCGAGCCAGCTCCGGAAGCATTCCATCAGAAAGAATTGTGGTCGCTTGGAACGACGGGGCGAAGGGGATCGGTCCAGCGGAGTCGGACTTGGGTTGGGGGAACAGACATCATTCGATCGTCGCCGACTTTGCGGGGGGTGGGTTGCATGCTGGAGAGATGCGCTACAGGCGCCGAGAGGCTCGGGGAGTTGCAGACCGCTCAGGATGGTCAAACGGAAGTGGTTGGGAGTCAAATGGTGGAAAGGCAATTGATCAGCCCCCGAGACAAACCCGACAGACGCTTAGGGAGAGCTGTCTGGTGCTGTCTCACGTCTCTACAAGCACCGAGTATCGGCTTCCTATATCGTTTCTCCAAGCGACTTCGGCATTTGGACACGCTAAGAGCATTAATAGACCGGTCCGTTTGTTTCCACGTGTTCCGCTGGTTACTTTTGCTTGTTTGTATTGCTGGCTAACTGCACGAAGAGTACACCATACAGGGGATCATCCTGCTGCTTTGTAAATCAACAAGGCCCAAAACAAGAAACGCGCTATCCAGAAAACTTCCATTCATTAAATGACCAGCACCCAGGGTGAGGGGTGCGATATCTCATTGTACCTTCTAACTGTACAAATCGTCCATCACACCACTCCAACGACTAGCCAACAAAACTCTATGTCCCAGGCGCCCGCTGCTGGTATACACACATTTGCCCAAACTTGTCGTGACCGCTCAATGTTCATGCCGTGACGTGCATACACCGCCAGTCGAGCAGGCTAGCCGCTGTTCCTTGCCTGAGTCTCAGCGCTAAGAAGTTAAAATGCAGAATCGTGACTGCGGAAACTTGACTGGCTTCTTCCGAGTCGAACGCGTAAGAAGCCGATCAACGATCGCGAGTCAGGACCTGAGATGCTTTCCCCGCTTACAGGAGGAAAGCGGCGATGGCACCAACACCAGCAAGACCAGCACCGACGTTAGCAACGAGGGCGTTGGCAGCACCAGTGTAGGTGGCAACAGCGGGGGCAACGCTGGATGGCGCATAGCTGGACCAGGCGGCGCTGGAGGTGGTGGCCGCGGCAACGGGGGTAGAGGTGCTGACCTCGACCGGGACCGAGGACCAGTCACCCCAGGTGCCGGTGGATTCGGCGGCGACGGAACTGCTTGTATCAGCCTGGAAATTTGTAAAGTCAGCTTAGGTTTCAATCTTTACCTGCAGGAGGTGGAGGTCGTGGTGTAGACAGGAACAGAAATGGTGCACGGGCAATCAGTGATAGTAAGGGTCGTGGCAGAAGTGACTTCGTAGGTCTTGCCAGCGTGCGTGAATTTGGTAGCATATGGGCAGTAGGTCGTGATGGCACCTACAACGGTCGTGGTATAGGAAACAGGAGCAGAGCTGGTGGTCCAGTCGCCCCAGGTGTGGGTGCTCTCAGGCGCAACGGGGACCTTGGTGGTGGTCGTGGTCGCGGTGGTGGTCGAAGTCCAGTCAGCCCACGTGTGGGTGGTTTCGGCCGCGACGGGGACCTTGGTGGTGGTCGTGGTGGTCGTAGTGGTGGTGGTTGTGCTCGACCAGTCGGCCCAGGAGCTGGCAACACCAGCAGAGGCGCTGGAAGCGAGAGCTGCAACAGCAATGATGGATGCGGTGACCTTCATTTTGACGGAGTGGTAGTTTCTGGATTAGAAAACTAGGTATTGAAGATTTGTTGGGTTGGTATTTGGGGGGTTCGTTGGAAACGAGTGTGGGTGGCACAAAGACCGGCTTTCGAGCTGCTGAACGAGCGACTGTAAGTTGGAGTTTTGATCGTAGGATGGAGGAAGGAAAAAGAAGTTGTGAGTGCGAAGAAGGTTCTTTCATATATGGGCGCGGGAGGCCCATGACACCTAACAAAAGGGAAATTAAGGTATCATTTTAGCGTTGATGTTGACCCCGGTGGTAACTGAGTGGACGACGACGGAGTGGATTGAGGGTGGGTGGACGATAGCAGTCTCGCGGGCGTCAGGGGTAGCGGCGGGTCTGTTTGGTCTTGTCTGTTTTGGCTCGGTGGTGGTAGTATAGCGGAGTCCACATGGCGTTTTTAGACCAGCCTCATCAAGACTTCTGTCTGCGCCATTGGTTCCAATCCAACTTCACCCGAGATTGTGGCGGCGAAAAGTGGCAACCTCCTCCACTCAGCTTGGACATTGTCTCGTGGGTGGGCACCAAAACAAGTTTGCCTGTTGGGTTCTCGTTTGCAGGTGTAGGTAGAGGCACACAGTCGTACGAGTATTCCCAGGCCCCTACCATATCGTTCCTTCTCGATGTTGTTTGTCCGACGACAAATCCCATTCTCTGACACAGACAGAACATGAGGGATGGTGACACGTCTGACTTCGATTTGTAGAGCTTGTAATTGGGAACTGGGTACTCGTAGATCCGACTGGTCCAGTGACCGACATCATCACACGACTAATTCGCCTCTGTTGTCTCTTGTGTGCCTGTTTACCAGCCAGGGTTCATTGGGAACCAACTCGGAAAGCAGCTGGTTTCGCGTAATTTCTCGCCTCTGTCCCAACCGAGATACTTTCACCTACGGTAGTCCGCGGTGTGTGAGTGTCGGTTCCAGTCCTTGTCAATATTGTTTACACCTGAGATCGCATCGTTGATCCAGCAGCCCAACTGGGCCATAACATCGAGGTCTATTCGTTCGAGTAGCGCAGGAGGTAGATCCGAGCCGCCGCATTCCGTGAACTCTTTGATTGCTGGTTCGCTTAGGGCCTGGTTTAGTTCACCGTCCGCGGTTGCAACGTCCGTGACATCCTGTTGCCACCCGCACCCCAGAGTAGCGTAGCAGAGCCAGTAGTACGAGGTAAACAAATATGAAATTGAGCTTGAAATGATGTGCTCGGAGGTTTTTGACGCACTGTGAAAGTAACCCCAGTTGAGGAGCAGGGCGGAGAGTTGGAAGTGGCTCTGTTGGCGCTGATCTGGTGCAGTTTCGGAAATGAAGAGCCAAGATTGGGTCAGGGGGTGCAGCCAATCAGAAAGCTCGGCCGTTGCCGCCTCCCTGCGCTGGCTTCATCGACTTTCGCTTCCGGTGCTTCATTCTCAACCCAATTCACCGTTTCTCCCCTTTCGTCACCCATGTCAAGTCTTTCTCGAGTGTCTGCACCGTTGCATCACATTTTGATTGGAATGCAGAAAACGCATATGCACACAACGAATGATTATCGTACGAGTACAATACAACCCCCGTCCATTGCCACCCTGGGCTTCGCCTGGTCCTGCGAATCTGAGTCTGAGAAGGATGACTTGCAGTTAGGGTTACTGTGCAGCTGAAGGATCAGATCTCGAATCACTCAGATCCCGTCATCTAGAGCCTCCGTGCTCTGTCCATCTATTCGTCTTCGTATGAACTTTCTGACACCGACTCCGCAATTGAGATATTCATGCTGACCCATTGGAGAACGTCGTGGTATCGATAAAGACACAATTTCAATAGCATGCCTATTTGAGCCCATGTCAATATAACCCACGAGGTGCCTGCAAATAGCACGCGATCATGCATTTATGCCATGGTGGAGCCGGAGCTAGGTACGTAGGTACAAGAACATACCTCGACTTAAGTTATGAGTGCTCAGAAACACGATTACTCTTTCCAGCAACTCCGACGCCTTGGTTCCAATGTACGGAGCAGCTAAATAACAGCCGCTCAACGTGATGGAGCAAGCAGCTCCACGGAGTCCATTCCCTTTCTGGCCACCGACCGTGATCTTTTCGCACTCCACCACTGCCACATGCTCACAACAAACATACCAAAGAGGACTTCCGTCATGTTCGGAGAGCTGAAAGGCTTATGTGAAGAGCAGCGTGGAGGCAGAAATGATCGTCTCATTGTACATACGGATGTACGAACAAGCACAGCACTGCTGAAAACCTATCCTTCAGTCCCCACGGTGAATCGCCACGACACCGATGATCAAACAGGCACGCAGCACTCGTCCGCCTCCCTGTCGCTTGGCCTCAGCCAGTGGAAACGGCGAGTATCATGGTCAATGGTGGATATTCTGATTCTGAGACATACCAGGGGTGCGAGATGGAAAGAAGCGCCTACTAACCACTTGGCCGATCGGTGAAACATTTCCCACCAAGTCCGGCCTTTCTCGAAACGAAAGGGCGAGACTGAACCCCTGACACGTGACTATGGCTTTCTCCTGATGAATAATGGCCGAGTGGCCCCCTGACAAACTCCTGGGTTTTCTCTGATCAGACACATTATTGAAGGCTCTCTATCAGTGCCTCATCACAATTACTTCGCGACACTTGATCATTGAAAATCACTGTCAATCATGTGCAGAGTTCGTTCAAGTCGATCCTCATCCTTGTATTGGCAATTTCCGTGGCAGTTGAACCATAATGTCTTGTTGACATCGATTGACTTTCACCAGGTTGCGAATTACACTGTCTCCTACTCGTCCATTCACTGTTAGACGCAGAAGATCGCCATTATTGAGATCGGAGTATCTAGATGCGCTGAAAAGGCATCCTGTCGACCCATCCTTTTAAATACATGTTTTTATTGCCCATTTTCCCTCGCGATCAAAAAACCTGCCCACCTTGCCCACCTTTCTCGCTAGCACAGCAGCTGAGCAGCGCGGTTGTTCTGGAGACGGTCACTTTGTCGACGTCACCATCGTGCGAAGTGTCGTGGTCTGCAGAGTTTCCCACTAAACTAGTCGTCGCGTCCTTATCCCTTCACCCACGGCTCTGCAAATGTACCAACCCAATCTTCCACTTCCTTCCTCAGCGTCAGAATCTCGGTGACTTCCGTCCCGTCCTTGAGATAATCCAAGAAACTCTTGACTGCTCCGGGATTCTTCTTGCCCTTCGCTTCTGCATCCGATCGGGCGCTCTTATCCACCTTGATAGCAATGGACACTGCACGATCAACTATCTCCGCCACGCGCGTGAAGTCGCTTGACTGGAAACCCCGTGTAGTCATTGCAGGCGAGCCCATTCTTAGACCCCCAGGCCTCAGGGCAGATTTGTCCCCGGGAACCGTGTTCTTGTTCGCGGCCACGCCGCACAGCTCGAGCACGCGCTCAACGCGAGCACCGTCGATGCCCTTGGATTTCAGATCGACCAGGACTAAGTGGTTGTCGGTCCCGCCACTGACGATGTTGTAGCCCAGACCACCTGTGTAAGCGGAATTGCCGAGCCGTTCTGCAAGGGCCTTGGCATTCGACAGCACGGTCTTTTGGTACTCCTTGAATTCTTGCGTTTGAGCCTGCTTCAGAGCAACGGCGAGGGCGGTGATGGTGTGGTTATGCGGACCGCCTTGGTGGCCGGGAAAGACGGACGCGTTGATGGGACCTTCGAGGTCGTACATCTCCTTCTCGCCCTTCTTGGTCGTTCGGCGCACGCCCTTGCGGTAGAAAATCATGGCCCCTCGAGGACCACGAAGCGATTTGTGCGTTGTGGTTGTCACCACGTCCGAGTATTGGAAGGGGCTTGGAATCACATCCGCGGCGACCAGGCCGGATATGTGAGCCATGTCAGACAACAGGTAAGCACCTACTTCGTCGGCAATCGCGCGCATGCGGTTGTAGTCAATCAATCGGCTGTACGCAGAGGTTCCGGCGATGATGATTTTGGGTCGGTACAAAAGAGCATACTCGAGCATCTTGTCGTAGTCAATCAATCCTGTTGACTCGTCCAGGCGATATGGGAAGGTCTCGAAGTACTTGGAGATCATGGATATCTTCTTGGTGGGAGTTTGGTAACCGTGGGACAGATGGCCTCCATGGGGGAGATCGAGACCCATGATACGGTCGTGTGTGTTGAGGAGGGCGGAGTAGGCGTAGAGGTTAGCGGGAGAACCAGACAAGGCTGAGTCGGTCAGCTTGAGATATCACTGGAGTTCAATAACATGTGGCCACTTACGTTGGACATTGACCCCCCATTCTTCTGGATTCAGGCGATATGTCTCCAGAGCGCGCTTCTGACATAGTCTCTCGGACTCGTCGATATGTTCGTTGCCTCCGTAGTACCGTGCGCCCGGGTATCCCTCTGAGTACTTGTCTGATTCGAGGGTCAGTAAATTGGTTGTTCACGAATTAGATGCGGTGCCACAGTGACTCACTCTGCATGACACTGCCCAAGGCATCCAGCACTGCCTGAGAGGTGAAGTTTTCGGAAGGGATGAGATTGATAAAATGTCTCTGCCGACGTATCTCCTACAACGGACAAAAAAAGGCGGGTTAGAGCCAGGAGGTAGAAGTTGGTATCGGGGTCTCTTACGCGCTGCAAGATCTCATAGATCTCGGGATCTGCTTGTTTGAGATGCTCACCCAGTAACTACGGGCTATGTCAGTATGTTGAGTGTTTTGCATTCGCTTTGGAAGATGCTACCTTGTTTTGGGCCTCGGTCTGGGCCGAACCCTGTGTTCGAGAAGACGACAGCCCTCTGATAGTTACCCTGCATGAGAGACATATCGATGGTTTGAAGGCCAAGGACTGTGAGGACCAAAGCCTCTTTGCAAGAATTGAACTGGCCATGTTTATACAGGCAAGATAGTAATGGCACTGCCAAGCAGTAATGGCGAAAAAACCGAAAATGCGGAGTCAAAGAATATATCCCGATCAAGCCTCACAGGGAGTCAGAATCGACGACAGG